CCCTGAGAGAAGAGCAGGGAGCTCCCAGAACGTTGTTTTCCAAAGGACACTCAGTGACTGTAATGCATGACTGACGTGCAGTCCTGGCATCCCCCTCCCCTCACGCTAGGGAGCTAGGTCATTCATCTGTCATCTGTTGTCTTCAGTCAGGCTCATCAGAATTTATCCTCATGTGTCATTCGTTGCATTCTCTTTTATTTTGGTTAAGTCTACCTACTTTATTTTCATCTTTTCAAATAAACGTCATTTCTTTTTTTTAATTTAAATTTAATTTAAATTTCATTTCCTGTAATTTATCTACTTTACATCCCGATCAGAGCCCCCTCCCTCATCTCATCCTGGTCCCATCCCTCTCTCCCTCCTTTCCCCTCCTCTCATCCTCCAAAAGGGGGAGTCCTCCTCCCCTTTCACCGGACCCCAGCCTATCAAGTCTGCCTGTATCCTCTTCCTCTGTAACTTGGCAAAGCTGCACTTCCAAGGGAATAAACTTCATTTCTTAAGTCAACCTGTTAGAATAAATTTTTAGATGTCAAACTACCTCTAAGAAAATTTCTGTTCTACTTTATGTTTCCCATTTACCTTATTTCTACAATATTTTTTTTTTATCAAGTCTGGTGTCCAACCTCACAAAGTTAAAATAAAATGTGAACATGGGATTTTGCATTTTTATGTGCATTCCATATTTCGAAGTATTTTTAGGATGTCTTGACTATGTTGAAGCAAGGACATTGCACATATCTAAGAATTCATTTTTGTTTACCCCTCCCTCCCCACCGTGTATGTGCATGCGTGTGTTTGTTTGTGTGTGTGTGTGTGTGTGTGTATGTATGTGAACTTTTGTTTCCTGATCCGGCTGCCTGCTGCCCTGTCCCCCATCAGGATGGACTTTCCCTCTGAAGCTGTCAGGGAAGCTTTTCTAAGTTACCTTTGGTCATGGTGTTTTACCACCATGACATAAACTAGACTAGAACACGGAACACACACCGTGCTGATGGAGGTATGGCCCTAGCTCCTCTTTTTGTAATTATTTAGTTTTCTAAGCACAGAACACTCTGCTAACCATGGAGATGGTGTCCACAGGAAGCTGTGGCCATCACCTTATTATTCTGTATCACTGTCAATGGGTTCTGTCTGCCCATGCCTTCCTAGTGGTTCTCGCTTGCCCTCTGAGCCATTAGGTCTGTGTAACTGTCTGGAGTTGGAGGGGTGCTGTTCTGAGCAGCACTAGCATGAACTTCTCAAGCTCCAAGAGGGATACTGTGTTGGTAAGGAAGAACAAAGAAAACCCTAAAATACCTAACAAAGAGGGTTCTTTTAAAATTAGATTTTATTCCTCAAAAATTTTGATCAAAAACCTCCCAAGATGGGAAAGTAAGACATTGAACTATATTTAAAAAGTGCATGTTTCTTCAAAGTTGAAAAGAATACCTAATCCGTGTGGTTTTAAGCTCAGGTCATGGAGGAGCTCCAGAAAGAGCTGTGGACATCCCATGATATAAATCTTCACTACACAATGGTGAGCAAATAGGGACCAAGAAGTTCAACCACTCCTTCGTGAATAGCGGAAAACATGAGAATTAATTCAATACACTTAAAGTTCTCTGCAGCTTCACTCTCTCCAATTATCCCAAGTAGTACACGAGAAGGATAAGGATAGCCATGAGTGCTCGAAGGCCTCATGCAACACCATGTCTCCCACGGGTCATAGCGTCACAGTGCGGCTCAGCTGGCAAGTGCTATATCAAATCCACTATGACATTTCTACTTTAATTACATTTTAATTATGTTTTATTCAAGGAAAATGAGCATTAATTTGAGGATTGGCTTTCTAAAACAAACAGTCTTTACGTGGATAAGAAAACTCACGTTTTATATTGAGGTGGTAAGGCCCTCAAAATCGGATGAAACTATGACTTCATCAGACTGTCAGTATTTATTCTGAGGTACTGATTTATGGACATTGAGAACAGAACATTGATTAGAATTGCCTGTGCCAAATAAAACACCAACCGATCCTGGTTAAGCAAGTTCAAACGTCCCAGGGATCAGAGAAAGTCTTGTCCTTGATCACAAGCCATGGTCCGTGGATCAGTGACGCTGGTGAGGAGCAGGACCCGAGTCACAGCAGAACAGAGGCAGGTAGGTTAAATCAGAGCGGCTTTTCATCACAACAGGGGTAAGAGACCAGGCCTGCACACTGCCTACTCACGTTTCTTCTCAGCAGAGGCAAGATGCTTTGGGTCATGTTTCACTGTCCCAGTAGATCAATTCAATAGCCAAATGCTGTGGTTACATTTATTTAAGGTGCATTGGGAGTATAATTCTACTGTGGGCCTTGAGGGGGAATTGGTAATAGTTGGTGAACGGCACTGAGGTGAATACAGAGTGATATGCTACTCAAGAAAGTATCACTTCGCGCCATCAGGCATGCTGGTTAAATGCCTTTTAATACAAGAATTAATTACATTGTCATAAGTAGGAAAGTTGCATCATCGTGGTCCCTGCTGCCAGGGGCCGATTCAGTGTTAATCAAAGATTAATGACAAGGGAGAGGTTGATTGTTTTAATATTAAAAGCAGATCTATATTCATGTGATATGTTAATTCAAAGCTGCCATGAGGCAGATGCTGAAGATGGAATTAGACATCCAAGAGATGAATGGGAAAGGTGCAGGAGAAGGCAGGAAGAGCATATAGAATATGTAGATCAAACTGTAGGAGAAGAAGGTCCAAGGAGAGGTCTCAGGACGCAGGGCAGGCTGGGAATTCTGACAAAAGGTCTGGAGGCCACAGTCTCCTGAAGATGGTGAGTTTGTCTTTGTACTTCTGATATGCTTAGTCATTGGCTGAAAACATCACATGGTAAACACCAACACGGGGAGAAGATCCCATATTTATAAATTGAGCAACAGATAGCTAAACCAGGCAGCTACTCCCCTGCCAGCAGAAGATCCAAGTGATCACGTATGTTCATCCAAGAATATATAGGAATATAGTGTGTGTTCATATGTACGTTTCCTTAGAAATGTTCAACTAAAAAACAAAAAGGAAAGGAGTTTATACAATAGGAATAACTGTGGCACCTAAACAGAAGTCTCTGGGTGGTTGACACAGGAGTGGAATTCTCCAGGGAAGGAGTTAAAGGACTTGGGTTGGGGAAACATTCAGGTATAGACTGCAGAGTCATGTCATTGAAACACCGTGCCATTCAGTCTCTTGCCAGAACCCAACGTTGACACTCCCTACAGTCTGTGAGGAACTGTGTTTTGCCTTTGCTGTTCAGGAAGAACTCAATATTTACCGAGCAGAAAGAATGGGAAGACTTTTAAAATGCATTTTCAAATGTAGTCCTTCCTGAATCAAGGTCTCACCCACCTGGGTTCTCCAAATCTACTAAGAGCATTTTGTTGCTCTTGATCTGATATTTTATGGAACTTTTCTGTTCACAAAACCTAATACACAGGCTCTGCCTCATGTTTTTTTTTTTTCTTAATTGATCTTTATTTTAATTAAAAAATAGCACCATACAGTACCTTCATTTATATGTTTTTTTTTCCACAGTGGCGTGCTTATCTCTGTTATTTTTCTCCTTTGTGTTTATAATCTGACACGCTGTGTATATGAAACTTCTTTCTTTTTACCGAATCATTGCTTTCTTAATGGAACACAGGCCACAGGAGTATGGGATTAGCTGTTTGTTCATGTAGGCTTATAAAAGTTCCTCTGTATATGCTTAAAATAAATATTTAATGCAGTAATGATATTTTTTGTGCTTTGGCATACATTTTAAATTATACACTGTGGTACATATTTATGTATATTACAGGTCTGAATATACTATACAGATTCTGCATCTGTTTGTTTGTACACATATTTTTACACATTTATTTCATTTTGTATACACATATGTGCAGGTGCCAATGGAGGCATCGGCTCCAGGTATCCCTATAGGCGGACTGTAAGCTCTAGGCGGATTGTAAGCCAACCATCGTGGATGCTGGGACTGAACTTGGGTCTTCTGCAAGAAGAGAGTCATGTTCTTAACTGCTGAGCCATCTCAACAGATCCTGTTTATGTTCTTAAATAAGGATTTTTTTTACTCTTCTGATTTCAGGTTTAAAACTGTAACAATATCATGAGATGATTTAGATGTTTGATTTAGAGATATTGATAAATGATGTTCAATTACGTACTTTAATGATATAACAGTTTTTACAGTTCAAATCGCCATAAAAGAATTTTCCAGTAATTATTCATGGAATAGTAACATGAATGGAAGGATTTATTTACATAAGTCACCAGGCCTGTAAGGAAGGTGCTAAGCTAGTTGGTCCTTGCTCTATAGCACCATCTGCTGTGCATACATAGAACAACAGTGGACACATTCAACCTCGGCCACTAACAAGAACTCTAGAAGCTGCCTGATCCATTCACAGCTGTATAGGTAAGAAATCAGAGATGAGAAAAAGTGCATTCCTTGGCAGCTTGTCACATGCCTTTTTCTAAGCGGGACTGAACACAGAAAAACTATGTGTGAGTTCTGGAGTCAGGCTTAGTTTTGTCTTTTCATGCATGGCCTCTACATGATACCTTCTGAGAGCTGGGGATATTTGCATTGCATGATTGCTGTGAGACTATCTCCATCACCTGGCAAACAGCATGTCTAATTGTGCCGAGGAACTAGACGGCTGGCCCTTCCACAGCAAAGGCATTTTATCTCGAAGTTATTAGTGACACACGGCGAGTAAAGCAGTTGGTTCATACTAATTACCTAAGAAGTTCACATCGACTACATGGAAGATCGTGAAGGGGAATTGAGGCATCTCACACATTTCTCCCCGGTTAAACTGAAAGCTGTGCACTGTGGAGAGATGAACCTGTTTCATCTCTCTTCATTTGCTTCTTGAGGGCTCCTAACTGGTGACTGTGCCAGTGAATTTCACGCAAATCCTAATTTATAGGTCTAATATTACAGAATATTCACACCTATTGCTTTTGATTCAAGGTCAGTTTTCAAACAAAAGTTTAATTCTGTGTTTTTACCTTGATTTCTTTTGCAGCTCCTGACCAGTATTTTTGAAGTCCCTTCCTGTAAAGCACAGGTTCATAACAAATCCATCTTTGAAATGAGGGTGCCTATCCACCCGGGAGAATTCAGGCGTGGAGAATTTACATGGACGCTAGTGGTAAGGGTGAATGTTTTGTGTAACAACACACTTCCAAAACATGATGGCAATGAAGTGTTTTCTCATTTTTACAAAGCTTAGAGTGAAGGCAATCAGAAAAAAATTAAACACAATTTTTTTTTTCTCACTCATCGCCAGTGACAAATAATCTAGGTTTGCAGAGCCGAGGGTCAAAGGCAGCAAAAAAGAACAGTGGACGGAGGCTGGGAGCAGCTGAAGACATCACAGTGTGCGACATCACTCTTCATGGCATTTCTTTACATACAAACGACACCATTTTTGTTTTTCAGAACATTAATAGCTTCCTCACAGAGCCTAAGTTAAAGCTGGTGCATCACCTACGGACACAACAGGCAGAAGGAATGAATGGAGGAAGGTGACTACACAGTGGATCCTACCTCATAAAATGAAAAAAAGGGGGGGGGAGGATAAGTCATCAAAAATTAGCCTCACATCACATCTAGAACGGCTGTGAGGCTGTAGTGTTTTCTCACCTCTGTTCAGCTGAGAAATCCCTTGGGGCCCCACTAACTTAACAGCAATGTGACAGTTGTCTTAAGGGAGGGCCTTGCTATGCAGCCATGGCTGCTCTGAAACTCACCAGGAAGAGAAGGCTGCTCTTAGACTCATAGAGATCTACCTGATCCTCTTTCCCAAGGGCTGGGATTAAAGGTGTATGCCACTAACCATGGCAAATGTGATTTAAAAAATTCATCAATAAGGGAAACTGGGTAAATCCAAATCCAGCTATTTATCTCTTTGCTGCTATACACAATTTTATAACCTTAAATGCAAATATTCAACATGTTCTATTACGAAGTTTTTGAGTGACACGTTAAATAAAACACATACGCACACATTCAAATGACGTGCTTAATGGAAAAGCCAAACTCCTGAACAACACTCGGTGTCTGAGGTTTTTTTTTTTTTATCTTTTCCAGAAAATATTAACTCAGCCATCACTTCATAAGGAGCCAACAGCATGAACATGAAAATGATACATTTGTAATTTCTTAAATATCTCATGGCCAACTGCCAGTTTTCTACTTCAGATGCTTCACGATCTCCTTTCAGAGTTTTAAGCACAGCTAGCCAAATCTCAGTCCTCTGGATGCAGCAGCAACCCTCAGAGAGCCAAGAAAGGCATGCCATCCAGTCTGTGTCATAGCAGGAAGATGACGTCGCCATTAGCGCATCTGAGGCCATCACTGCCCCTAGAAATGTCCCGCTCTTCTCGTGCTTACTGGCCCCCAATGTAGAATACTGATGCTGCCTTGAAATCCTCGTGCGTGCGACAAGTTTGTCTTGACATCCTAACTGGCCACAAAGGATGGCTCTGGCTGTCTGAAGGGCTCTAAGCGAGGAGAGGAGGAGGCAATGGCAGCTTCCTTCTTTGAGAACTGTCATTTTGCTTTTTCTCACACGTTCGTTTGTTCCCTGTTACGGGGAGACTTTCGAGTTGGTGGGTTCCAAATCCCCGTTCTCGAGGTGCCTGTCACAGGCCCTGCAGTTCTTCAGCATTCCCTCCCACAGAGTATAGAGAATGTGTCCACAGATGTGTATTCCGGCTGTAATCACCTCCTGGTTCCTGAAGACTCGTTGTCAAGACTGAGGATGTATGTATGCTCTGCCTATCCCCCCCCCCCGCCAGTACAGTGGGAGAGAATAACAAGTAACAAATGGTGACGCAACAGTCGTCTCCATCTTCAGCCACGTGCAAGGAAGACTCAAGCCTCGACTTGCACGCATCCTTTCCAAAATTCTAAGGAGCTTCACAGTTTAGTGGCACAAAACCTTGGCTATGATTTTATCGAAGTATTATTGTTGAGAGCGGTGAAACATTCTTCTCCATGTATCTTTTCCTGATCACTTTCTGGCTTAATCGTATTATCAATCACAGTCACTTTTTATTGTCGCCGCCACCACCATTATCGTTTTTTATAGCTGCTGCTACTGCTCAGAATTCTAGGTAAAAATGAACTGGTTTAACTCAAAAGCCCTGTGCGAGAGGTTGTATTATTATGTGCAGATTGCAGATGGTCACAGAGCTAGTGGTGGTGGAGTCCAAACATGGGCGCTGGAGTAAGAGTCTTTAAGTTCGAAATCTATATCCCCTGTTAAGAGTGGTCACTGAAGACAGGTGTCCTAGCTCCCTGTAACTGTTTTCCTCTTCTGGAAAAATATCACATGTTGATGGACACACATTAGAGATGAAGACAGGCTGAGGAAGAGGAGGTCAGTTGGACTTACTGGAAAACATCTGTTATCCTAGCCTGTGCTGGGATTACCTGTGCTGTCATTTCACTATGCGTTCGTTATCAGAAGGTTTTTTTTTTATCTATGACCAAATTCAAATAATGAACGAAGGCCAGTGTTTGGGAAATCCACTATTTCTGATGGAAAGCAGATTTAAGGTAAAATTTAAAAGCTACCTACATATCAAAGACAGTGGTGTTTACACAAGAGGAAAATGGAATCAAGAGTTCCTACATTAGGGCTAGGGAGATGGCTCAGCAGGTCAGAGTGCTCACAGGTAAATCTTATGACTGGAGTTCTGTTTGTAGGGTCCTTGTGTAAAGGCAGATGTCGTGGTGTCTGCTTGCTGGACAGCTATCCTGGAGAATGCAGCATGGCAGGAGCAAAAACAGAGAGTGCATTTCAACGAGGCAGAAGGAGAGAACTGCCTGCCCAGGTTGTCCTTTGACCTTTGCATGCAGTCAGTGGAATACACACACACACACACACACACACACACACACACACACACACACACACTGGAGACACACACATAGACAAACAAATAATAATAAAGTAATTTTTAAAGCGAGTGTTCATTTTGTTTAGAAGAGATGTAGAATATGAAAACATCCTGTTGTCACCAAAATGCAGTACTTTTCCGACATGAAGTGACTTCCTTTTCAGGCCTCAACTTCACGCTTTCAGGTTAGAGAAGTCAGACTTGAGTGTGATGCTCTCTGAGGATAACAGGGGGACTGGACCGAAGAGATGGAAGATGCTTAAAACTCCCCACAAATATGGTTCAATGTGGAGATATTTCAAAATTTCTTTTAAAAGCAGAAGCAAAGAGGTCCTTTATCTTAGTTTTTGGTTTTGTCAGTCATGGTGTTAGTACATGGCTTTGGCTGTCCTGATACTCACCATGTAGACCAGGCTAGCCACAAATTCACCTGCCTCTGCCTCCCAAGTGCTGGGATTAAAGGTGTGCACCACCACACCTGGCCACGGAGGTTCTTTAGACAATGAACTAAGTAGATAGAAATTCTAGTAATTTCCTAGGAAGAATGTTTTTCAGCATGAGCTGGACAGTAGAAAATAGGAAAGACTGTCTTTGTCTTTGACTATTTTATTATAAGGCCTGTCGACATCAGCCATCACTTCACTTTGAAAATCCTCAGTGAAGAAAGCCAACAAAACTATGATCACTGATGGCACACAGACTTTCTTAGCTTACAAATCGAACACCACAGTCAACCAGCCAAGGAAGGTTCTTAGAGTTCAAACACAGGCCAAAGGAGGAAAACAAGGTTAGTGTTTGCAACCAGTTCACATAGAGAAGGGCAAGGCTCAGGATGACCCTTGTGGACTGATAATCTAACTTACAGGAATGGATTAAATTGAAAAAAAGCAAGTAGGAGAAATATTTACCCATAACTGATGGCTGAAAATGTTTAAATATTTTTTTAAGAAGTATGAGTGAGGTTGATGTGCAAGTACTTCACGTACAATAAACTCTTTGTCCTAGGAGCTGGCAGATACAGATGGAGTACCAGAGGCAAAACACACATTCACCTCTGGGCAGTGATCACAATTTCTTTTTGCCAGATTACTGGATGGATGCCACATTTTCAGGCTTTCTGTCTCTCTAGTACTTCCTGCAGGAATGCGGTCAAGGCTCCTTAGAGCCCCAAGGTTTCCTGACTGACATCCTGACGCAAATGGCTGTCTGCTCTATGCAGAAAGAAGCGAGGAAGGGACAATCTTTTATCTCAGGAATGAATCCGTTACCGGTTCTCAGGGTTATCAGGCCTCTAAAATTTTAGCCTGACCTTCTGGAAGATATTTTAATGTTAAGTCTCGATTCTGGAAGCCAAATAAATTGCCAAAAGTTATAAAATGATTAAGATGTACGGTGGAGACATGACGTAACCACTGATATTAAACTAAATCTGAAGGAATTTCAGAAAGCATTTTCTTTAAAGTGCTACATGACAATTGAACTATAGTCACCAAGATCAATCAGTGTCCTAGATACCCAACATCAATACACAGTTTTTCTGAAAATGGCAGGTGAGAGCGTGCATACTACCATACTTGTCTTACTGCCTTGTTCTGTACGTGCCTGTTTTCACTGAGGCACAATGACAGTTTCAATCTTCACACAGTCAGCCCTCAGAAAATGTTCACTGGTATAGCTGGTCTTGAGGTAGCACTATTCCTAATTGTCTGAGAAAGTGCCAGATTGATTTCCAAAGTGGCTGTAAAAGTTTACATTCCCACCAGCAATGGACAAGAGTTCCCCTTTCTTCACATCCTCTCCAGCATGTGTTGTCACTTGAGTTATTCATCTTAGCCACTCTGATGGGTGTAAGGTTAAATCTCAGGGTCATTTGATTTGCATTTCTCTGATGACTAAGGACATTGAGCATCTCTTTAAGTGTTTCTCTGCCATTCTATATTCCTCTACAGAGAATTCTCTGCTTAGCTCCGTACCCCATTTTTTAATTGGATTACTTGATTTGTTGCTTTTTAACTTTTTTATATATTCTGGATACTAGCCCTTTGTCAGATATAGGGTTGGGGAAGATCCTTTCCCAGTCTGTAGGCTGTTGTTTTGTTCTGATGACAGCGTCCTTTGCTTTACAGAAGCTTTTCAGTTTCATGAGGTTCCATTTATTGATTGTTGCTCTTAGAGCCTGTGCTGTTGGTGTTCTGTTCAGGAAGTTGTCTCCTGTTCCAATGAGGTCAAGGCTCTTCCCCACTTTTTCTTTTAACAGGTTTAGTGTGTCTAGTTTCACGTTGAGGTCTTTGATCCACTAGGACTTTAGTTTTGTGCAGGGTGGTAAATATAAATATAGATCTATTTGCATTTTTTCATGTAGACATCCATTTAGACCAACACCATTTGTTGAAGATGCTATCTTTTTTCCATTGTATTGTTTTGGCTTTTTTGTCAAAAATCAAGTATCCATAGTTGTGTGGGTTTATTTCTGGGTTTTCTATTCAATTCCATTGATCCACCAGTCTGTTTCTATGCCAGTACCATGTAGTTTTTATTACTATTGTTCTGTAGTACAGCTTGAGATCAGGGATGGAGATGCCTCCAGATGATCTGTTGCTGTACAGAATTGT